CCAACATGTTATCTCAAGGCCCCTTCACTCTTTTTTTTGATACAGTTTGGTGGTTTACTTTTCATATTCTCCAGTTCTTATTTTTCAATTTTTCCATGACAGAGTATCTGAAATTCACCCCTCACTGAACACTGTATTGTTCTTCATGTCTCACCAGAAATCTTAGTTTACATAGGCTAAGTGGTTTGCTATGTTCTCAAAGGATGAATTCATTCACATTCTAATACTGTCAGTGAAGGATGTTACAGCACCATGATTTGTATTTGTCAGATATGAGAATGAAAGAAGAGAATTTTAAAAAATACAAAGCCATGAAGAACACAGCTTTTACTGTGAAAGCCTCTCTGATTTTAACCCTTTCACTGTCGGTGACATATAGGTACAGCTTATATGCCAGTGATGGTGATGTATTAATACCCCAAAATTCTAGCGGCTTCAAATCTAGCAGGAGACAGCTAATAGACCTACATGTTAGAGAATGGGTCTGCATGATCAGTGTGCACAGTATAAAAAAAATCCTGCAGCACGCAGTGCATAATGAGAAAAAAAAACTCCGACAGTATTTTTGGATTAAAACGCCAACTTTGAGGTGTATTTTCGTATGGTATTTATGGTTGTATTCTCTTTTTTTTTGGTCTCATTTGATAAAATGGAAGAGATATTACAGAAATAGAGATGATTTTGATTGTTTTCATGAAGAAAAGTACAGTGGACCCCCGGTTCGCGATGCCATCGGTATCCAATAAATCCGGTATTCGATACATTTAAACGCAAAAATTTTGCCTCGGTTCCCGTTAAAAAACCTGGTATATGCAATTCGTTCGAGACGTGTCCACGTGTGGCCTGAACTGCCCTGTGTGTGCCAGTGCTTACAAGCCAGCCAGTGTGCTCGCATCTAAGGATACATTTGGTACATTCCATATTATCACAGTGTTTTTGGTGCTTGTTTCTGCAAAATAAGTCACCATGGGCCCCAAGAAAGCTTCTAGTGCCAACCCTTCGAGAAAAAGGGTGCTAATGACTATTGAAATGAAGAAAGAGATAATTGCAAAGTACAAAAGTGGAGTGCGTGTATCGGAGCTGGCCAGGCTGTATATAAAACCCCAATCAACCATCTCTACTATAGTTACCAGGAAAACGGCAATCAAGGAAGCTGTTCTTGCAAAAGGTGCAACTGTGATTACGAAACAGCAACCACAAGTGTTAGAAGATGTTGAGAGACTGTTATTGGTGTGGATAAATGAAAAACAGATAGCAGGAGATAGCATCTCTCAAGTGATCATTTGTGAAAAGGCTAGGCAGTTGCATGACGATTTGGTAAAGAAATTGCCTGCAACTAGTGCTGATGTGAGTGAATTTAAGGCCAGCAAAGGTTGGTTTGAAAGATTTAAGAATCATAGTGGCATACATAGTGTGATTAGGCATGGTGAGGCTGCCAGTTCGGACCAAAAAGCAGCTGAAAAATATGTGAAGGAATTCAAGGATTACACAGACAGTGAAGACTTGAAACCTGAACAAGTGTTTAATTGCGACGAAATAGGCCTGTTTTGAAAGAAATTGCCAAGCAGGACCTACATTACTCAGGAGGAAAAGGCACTCCCAGGACATAAGCCTATGAAAGACAGGCTTACTCTTCTGATGTGTGCCAATGCAAGTGGTGATTGCAAAGTGAAGCCTTTATTGGTGTATCACTCAGAAACTCCCAGAGCGTTCAGGCAAAAGAATATCCTCAAGGCTAATTTGTGTGTGCTGTGGAGAGCAAACAGTAAGGCATGGGTCACTAGGGACTTTTTCTATGACTGGTTACACCATGCATTTGCCCCCAATGTGAAAAATTACCTAATTGAAAAGAAATTAGACCTTAAGTGCCTCCTGGTATTAGACAATGCCCCTGGTCATCCTACAGACTTGGCAGAGCGACTTTCTGGGGACATGAGCTTCATTAAGGTCAAGTTTTTGCCTCCTAATACCACTCCTCTCCTGCAGCCCATGGACCAGCAGGTCATTTCCAACTTCAAGAAACTGTACACAAAAGCTATGTTTGAAAGGTGCTTTGAAGTGACCACAAACACTCTAGTGACTCTATAAAAGAGTTTTGGAAGGATCACTTTAATATCCTCAATTGTGTAAACCTTATAGGTAAGGCTTAGGAGGGAGTGACTAAGAGGACCTTGAACTCTGCTTGGAAAAAACTGTGGCCAGAATGTGTAGACAAAAGGGATTTTGAAGGGTTTGAGGATAACCCTGGGAATCCTATGCCAGTTGAGGAATCCATTGAGGCATGTCTTCTTCAGTTTGTGTGCATTAATCTTAATATTTCTGTGGTAAAATTTTTTTTTTCATACTTTTGGGTGCCTTGCACGGATTAATTTGATTTCCAATATTTCTCATGGGGAAAATTGATTCGCTTTTCGATAATTTTGGTTTACAATGAGCTCTCAGGAACGGATCAATATCGCAAACCGGGGGTCCACTGTACCTTGAAATTGAGCTCAAAGTAGCGGAAATGTTTGATTTTTGACAATGCTCAAGAGTAAACAAATGACGTCACCATCCAATACATGCCCAACTGGCCAGTCTAATACGCAGTCATGAATGGGTTGACATTATTTATACAATTATATAATAATACAGTAGTCTGCACAACAGCAAATCTTCTATTTTTTGTGTGAATAAAAATTCAAAATGGAAAGCAGGGGCCTGGAGACATGACTAATAAACAGAGAAAATGTTATTTTAGTGCCAGGAATGTCTGTACTGATTATTCTGGACCCTATTTTGAAACTGGCATCTTTTGAAATTTGTGTAAAATTGACAAAATTGCCAACTTCTGGCCACTTTATTGGGTAGTTGAAATCAGTATATGGGCAGTTTCTTGTACTCAATTGATAGAAGAAATGGAGTTCTAGAGAAATAGCTATGAGTTTGGTCAACTGGAACAATGGAATTGGCCAAAAATAGGGTCAAAGTGGGCGAAATCACCAATGCATATATATCGCTGAGACCGTAATCCCATAAGTTTTCCCATCAAATTTAAAACTTTTGGTGTCATTACCACTGGGAAAAGATTCTCTATCATTTCATAAGAAAAAATAATTTTTTTTTTTAAATTCTTCGACACTCAGAACAAGTTTGTGAGCAGGAGTCTCAACAGTGAAAGGGTTAAGCTAGATAGTTTAAGAACTGCCTATCCACATTTCCTTTTGCACACTTATGTACTATTACATGATTACAGTTGTATAAGGCATTTGCAGTGTCCAAAAAGTATGTCATAATGCTGTAGCAGTTAAGAGGTATGAGTGTCCTTTGCTAAACCCAGGTTGCCCTAGAATTTGTAAATGTTTGATCCCAAGTGTATAGTGTGATGTTAGTACATAATAAGAGCTGAAAAAAAAGCAAACAAAACAATAAAGGAATGGAATAAAGGAATGGAACAGACTGCCCGTACATGTCAAAGCCAGTCACAGCATGAACCAGTTCAAGAAGAGAGCCAAAAGGTGTCTGATGAATGTAGCTACAGAACGGGAGGGGAATGATTTTTTATTTTTTTTTAGCTAACACACGTGTAATTTTCTAGATAGCAGGCTGGTAGACAGCAACCACCCATTGAAGTACTACCGTCCTGCCAAGTGAGTGTAAAACAAAAGCCTGTAATTGTTTTACATGATGGTAGGATTGCTGGTGTCCATTTTTCTGTCTCATGAACATGCAAGGTTTCAGGTACGTCTTGCTACTTCTACTTACACTTAGGTCACACTACACATACATGTACAAGCATATATATACACACCCCTCTGGGTTTTCTGCTATTTTCTTTCTAGTTCTTGTTCTTGTTTATTTCCTCTTATCTTCATGGGGAAGTGGAACAGAATTCTTCCTCCGTAAGCCATGCGTGTTGCAGGAGGCGACTAAAATGCCGGGAGCGGGGAGGGGGCTAATAACCCCATCTCCTGTATATATTACTAAATTTGAAAGGAGAATTTTTTTTTTTTTCTTTTGGGCCACCCCACCTCGGTGGGATACGGCTGGTACGTTGAAAGAAAGAATAGGGTAAAAGGACCCCAATGGAAATAAGTCATTCTGTCTGACTTTTTTGGGTTATCCTAGGTTCTTTACACATGTGCTGCTATGTATGATACTTTATGTAACTGTATTTTTGTATACCTGAATAAACTTACTTATTTGCTTACTATGAACCACTATCAGAAACCCATTTTCAGCGATACCTATTTTTTTCCTGTTAATACTGTAATTATTATTATAATATTTAGGGCAAAACAAGGGTGAGATGAGTCCACTAAGAGAGAACTTGATAAGTGTCAGACATCCACAACTTATCAATGGCCTCCCTTCATGCTTATGGGGAACTGCCAACAAACCTCTTATTGAATTCAAGAGAAAACTTGATAAGGTCCTTAAATCAATTCCCAATCAGCCAGACTATAGTGAATACATGGGACTGCATGCAGCCAGCAACAACAGCCTAGTCAAACAGGCCAGCAACCAGGTCCGGTTTGCGACAAGACCACGGGAGCAATAACTCCTGAAAATAGCATTAGGTAAACAAAAGATGTAGCACTGAACTTGTAGGGGTCATATAGCACCTAGGGAATGGGAGGTAATCAGGTTCAATTCAAAGGGGAGGACAAATCCAATTTCTTAGATCAAGAGCCTATCACCAGGATCAAGGAACCTTCCTTAAGGGACAATGTCATCATTAATATGAAGCTAGAAACAATGTATATTGCTGTATCAATGTCCATGGCCCCAGACCATTCAGCATCTTACCAGAAGATAACACTGCTGGAACAAATGAAAAAGTCTCTAAGAGGAAATTGGACAAGCATCTTCACCAGGTGCCAGAACTATGAGGCTGTGATGGATATGTGGGTCAGCAGGCCACCAGCAGCAACAGCCTGGTTGACCAGACAAGCCTGGCCCACAGCCGGGCCCCAATACAAAAACTCTCAGAACTCATCAAAGATACATCAACGGCTCACCTGAATAGCCTGTGAAGTAGTACAATGTGTCTTTAGTCTTGCATCTTCTTCAAGTTCATCTTCCATTGTAGCTTCATGAATTAACACGTCACAATTTTTACCTGATGAAGATTTTAACACTGACAAAATTAAATGCATAACAAAATAAAAAAAACATTAACATGTGTGAGATTAAAGGGGGAAGAGAAATTAAGAAAAAAGGTGCAATATTAGTTTAATATTTTAAATTTAATACAGGATTAATATTGCAAAAGAAAGGGGTAATAGTTATTACACTCTTAATTAAAGACAATTTAATTATGAAGAAACATCTACAAAATGAGGGAAAAAAGGTGAGTGGTGTGTTGAGGTATATGTGGAGACAAAAAATGTTATCTATGGAGGCAAAGAAGGGAATGTATGAAAGTACAGTGGACCCCCGCATAACGATCACCTCCGAATGCGACCAATTACGTAAGTGTATTTATGTAAGTGCATTTGTACGTGTATGTTTGGGGGTCTGAAATGGACTAATCTACTTCACAATATTCCTTATGGGAACAAATTCGGTCAGTACTGGCACCTGAACATACTTCTGGAGTGAAAAAATATCGTTAACCGGGGGTCCACTGTATAGTAGTACCAACACTCTTATATGGGTGTGAAGCTTGGGTTGTGAATGCAGCAGCGAGGAGGCAGCTGGAGGCAGTGGAGATGTCCTGTCTAAGGACAATGTGTGGTGTAAATATGCAGAAAATTCGGAGTGTGGAAATCAGGAGAAGGTGTGGAGTTAATAAAAGTATTAGTCAGAGGGCTGAAGAGGGGTTGTTGAGTTGGTTTGGTCATTTAGAGAGAATGGATCAAAGTAGAATGACATGGAGAGCATATAAATCTGTAGGGGAAGGAAGGCGGGGTAGGGGTTGTCCTCGAAAAGGTTGGAAGGAAGGGGTAAGGGAGGTTTTGTAGGCAAGGGGCTTGGACTTCCAGCAGGCGTGTATGAGCGTGTTTGATAGAAGTGAATGGAGACGAATGGTATTTGGGACCTAACGATCTGAACATTAAAATGGTATAAAATACCAACAGGTTGTTAGGTAAGACACATATGCAACAGTTAGGTATCTTTATTATGAAAACGTTTCGCCTACACAGTAGGCTTCTTCAGTCAAGTACAGAAAAGTTGATAGAAGCAGAAGATACTTGAAGACGATGTAATCAGTCCATCACCCTTAAAGTTTTGAGGTGGTCAGTCCCTCAGTCTGGAGAAGAGCATTGTTTCATAGTGTGAAACACTATGAAACAATGCTCTTCTCCAGACTGAGGGACTGACCACCTCAAAACTTTAAGGGTGATGGACTGATTACATCGTCTTCAAGTATCTTCTGCTTCTATCAACTTTTCTGTACTTGACTGAAGAAGCCTACTGTGTAGGCGAAACGTTTCATAATAAAGATACCTAACTGTTGCATATGTGTCTTACCTAACAACCTAACGATCTGTTGGAGTGTGAGCAGGGTAATATTTAGTGAAGGGATTCACGAAAACCGGTTATTTTTATATAGCCGGACTTGAGTCCTGGAAATGGGAAGTACAATGCCTGCACTCTAAAGGAGGGGTTCGGGATATTAGCAGTTTGGAGGGATATGTTGTGTATCTATACGTACAGTGGTCCCTCGCTTTTCGTAGTTCTCGGCAATCGTAAATTTCGCCAATCATAGGGGTATTTTCATATAAACATGAACTCACTTTTCATCGGTTGACTCACGAATAGTAGTTCGTCCGGGACGCATATGCACGGTGTGATCCGGGGCAGCCTCCCTACCCAGCCAGTCTGGCATTGTTTACCAGTGAGTGAAGGTCCCCTCAAGTGCTCCTACGAAATATTTCATAATATTCCACTCATTTTAGTGCTTGCAAGTATTAAATAAGCTGCCATGGCTCCAAAGAAAGCTCCTAGTGCCAAGCCTGTGGTAAAGGTGAGAAATATGTACAGTGACAAAGTCTTGGGCCATTTTAGGGAAGTGTTAAAGAGACGCCAGAAACAGAGCTCTCTCCACAGTTACTTTGCGAGACAGGACTAGAGTGACTCTCAAGGTGGTCCTAGTGGCATTAAGAAACAGAGAAGAGAAGCAACCCCAGAGAAGCCATTGGTACCTGAGGTGTTGCTGGAAGGGGATTCCCCTTCCAAACTGTAAACAATCCAATCTCTCTCCTCCTCCAGTCTCCTATACACTAAGAAGAATCTCCAATAAAGGTAAGTGTTACGCTGTTAATGTTTCATTCATCATTTCCCATTGTATTGTTTATGTACTACATGTATATTTTATTTCATGTAAAAAAATTTTTGTTTTAATACTTCTGGGTGTCAGGAACGGATTAATTGTATTTACATTATTTCTTATGGGGAAAATTGATTCGCAAATCATAAATTTCGTTTAGAGTAACGGCTCCAGGAACGGATTAATTACGAAAAACGAGGGACCACTGTATATGCTTCTAAACTGTTGCGTTCTGAGCACCTCTGTAAAAACAGTGATTATGTGTGAGTGAGGTGAAAGTGTTGAATGATGATGAAAATATTTTCTTTTTGGAGATTTTCTTTCTTTTTGGGTCACCCTGCCTCGGTGGGAGACGGCCAACTTGTTAAAAAAAAAAAAAAAAAATCTATAAAATGAAGACTGATATACAAATTATAAAAATTTAAGCAAATAAAATGTGAGTGACAGTTTATATAATAATTTGCCTGTTCATCATTGCGACTGAGTGGCTTTTAATTTTTTTTTTTTTCATTTTGACAAAAGTAACATTACATGTCCATTCCATAATTTACCAAGCAATATGCAAGCTCCAGTAGGTCTAAGTATTAGGCATGTAACAGGACTTTGCAATTGTACATTTCTTTTTTTTTAACACGTCAGCTGTTTCCCACCAAGGCAGGGTGACCCCCCCCCAAAAAAAAACCTTAAAAAGAAAGAAAAACTTTCATCATTCAAACTTTCATCATCATTTCAACACTTCACCATCACTCAAACATAATCACTGTCTTTGCAGAGGTGCTCAGATACAACAGTTTACTCATTGGGGTCATATAGCACTTGAGAAATGGGAAACAATCAAAGTGGGAGAATGGGCCCAATTCCTTAGATTAAGAGTCCCTCACCAGCATCAAAAAATGTCTTCGTAATGTATGAGCATTATGGATTTGAAAAAAGAAATTACGTGAGCACATGATTGATGTCTCAAGGCTCAGCCCCTTAACCCCTTGACTGTCGCAACCCCAAATCTTGAGGTGTCTGCTGGGGTTGCAAAATTTAAAAAAAAAAAAAAAAATATTTTTCTTATGATATAGAATCTTTTCCATATTGTAATGACACCAAAAGAACGAAATTTGATGGAAAACTGGCGAAATTACGCTCTCATGAAGATAGCGACCTTGGCGATATTTACAAATAGGCAATTTCGCCCACTTTGAGCCCTATTTTTAGCTAATTCCATTGTTCCAGTCGACCAAACTCATAGCTATTTCTTTAGAACTCCATTTTTTTCTAGCGATTGAGTACAAGAAACTGCCCATTTACCGATTTCAACTACCCAATAACATAGTCAGAAATTTGCAATTTGGCCAATTTCACAAAAATTAACCCTTTCAGGGTCCAGAGGCCAAATTTCAAAGCGTGCACAAGTATCCAAGAATTTTCAAAAAATAATTTTGTTATTTTTTCTTATGAAATGGTAGAGAATCTTTTTCTGAAGGTAATAAAACAAAAAGTGCGAAATTTGATGGAAAACTGACGAAAGTATACTCTCACGAATTTTGATGTGTCAGCGATATTTACGCATCTGCGATTTTGCGGAATTTGACTCCCATTTTAGGCCAATTACATTATTCCAGACGACCAAATTCTAAGCTATTTCACTAGTATTACTTCTATTCTATCGATTCAGCACAAGGATTTGCCAAGTCAACTGTTTCAACTACAAAATAAAGTGATCGGAAATTGGTAATTTGGCCAATTTAATGCAAAGTTCAAAATACTCCAATTTCAAAGTAGGGTCCAGAATAAACAATGCAGGCATTCTTGGCACTAAACATTTCCTCTGTTCATTAGTTATGTTTTCAGGCTTTACTAATGAATTCCATTTTGATTTTTTGTTCACATAATGAAATTTTATTCAAACCAAAAAATAGAAGATTTACTGTTATGCAATATTGTAATTTTTTTTTTTTTTATTATCACACCGGCCGATTCCCACCAAGGCAGGGTGGCCCGAAAAAGAAAAACTTTCACCATCATTCACTCCATCACTGTCTTGCCAGAAGGGTGCTTTACACTACAGTTTTTAAACTGCAACATTAACACCCCTCCTTCAGAGTGCAGGCACTGTACTTCCCATCTCCAGGACTCAAGTCCGGCCTGCCGGTTTCCCTGAATCCCTTCATAAATGTTACTTTGCTCACACTCCAACAGCACGTCAAGTATTAAAAACCATTTGTCTCCATTCACTCCTATCAAACACGCTCACGCATGCCTGCTGGAAGTCCAAGCCCCTCGCACACAAAACCTCCTTTACCCCCTCCCTCCAACCCTTCCTAGGCCGACCCCTACCCCGCCTTCCTTCCACTACAGACTGATACACTCTTGAAGTCATTCTGTTTCGCTCCATTCTCTCTACATGTCCGAACCACCTCAACAACCCTTCCTCAGCCCTCTGGACAACAGTTTTGGTAATCCCGCACCTCCTCCTAACTTCCAAACTACGAATTCTCTGCATTATATTCACACCACACATTGCCCTCAGACATGACATCTCCACTGCCTCCAGCCTTCTCCTCGCTGCAACATTCATCACCCACGCTTCACACCCATATAAGAGCGTTGGTAAAACTATACTCTCATACATTCCCCTCTTTGCCTCCAAGGCAATAATATCAGCACATTTGTGAACGTATATTAGACCCACCAGCAGGCGTGTATTAGACGTGTGAGGTCATTTGTTTACTCCTTAACATCGCCAAAAATTTAACATTTCCGCTACTTTGAGCTCAGTTTCAAGCCATTTCCAGTAGTAAACCAATCAAAATCATCTCTATTTCTGTAATATGTCTTCCATTCTATCAAATGAGACCAAGAAATCGCAAATACAACTATAAAAAATATACGAAAAAACACTGCAAATTTGCTGTTTTAATCGAAAACTACGGTCTCAGTTTTTTCTCTCATTATGCACTATGTGCTGCGGGATTTGTTTTATGTGGTGCATACATACCACATAGATGTATTCTCTCATATCAAGGCCAAAATTTACCGCTCACAGCTTATCAGAGTGAGCTGGGCTCATGACGCAGATCTACGGTTTGGATCCTCAACATAAAGCCGTAGATCTACGGCAAGGACCCTCAAGGGGTTAAAAAATATGACAATTTCAAAATTGGGTCCAGAATGAACAATGCAGACATTTCTGGCTCTAAAATAACATTTTCTATGTTCATCATTCACATCTCCAGGCCCCTCTGATATTACTCTTGCTTTCTATCCTGAATTTTTATTCAAACAAAAAATAAAAGATTTACTGTTATGCAGACTACTGCAATATTGTAATAATTGTATAAATAATGTCAACCCATTCATGACTGCATATTAGAATGGCTACTTGGACATTTATTGGAAAATGACATCATTTGTTTACTTTTGAACATCGGCAAAAACATTTCCCCTACTTTGAGCTCCATTTCAAGGTTCTTTTCATAGTAAAACCAATCAAAATCACTTCTATTTCTATAATATGTTTTCCATTCTATCAAATGAGACCAAGAAAACGAGAATACAACCATAAATACTATACGAAAATAGACCACAAAGTCAGCATTTTAATTAAAAAAAAAACGGTCGGAGTTTTTTTATTCTCATTATGCACTGTGTGCTCCAGGATTTTTTTTATATGGTGCACACTGACCACACAGACCCATTCTCTCACATGTGGGCCTACCAGCTTTCTCCTGCTTGATTTGAAGCCGCTAGAATTTATGAGTATAAATACGTCAAAAACGATGGCTCGTAAGATGTATACAGTATATACGAACCGAAACAGTCAAAAGGTTAAAGGACACCACATTTTTTTTCCAGTGCTGCCTATTAGGAAGAAGTGTGTAATCATTCTTGTGACATGTGACACATTCCACAATGAGTGGTAGATCAAAAATTTCTTTCCTTACCACTGCCTCAGTGTTTTTGAGGCATTGTAAAATTTGTCACATACAAAAACCACAACTCTGCCTTGACAAAAAAACTGAAAGATAGACTGCAAATCACCAGAACAAAATCGTAAGATTCATCCTGGGGCTGGGACCAAGAGAACATGTAGGCCAGGATGAATTACAGCAGTTGGATATGCTGAATGTTGAAGACAGAGTAAAACAACTGAAGCTAAATCATGTTTATAAAATTGCTCACAAACAATGTCCAGAATATCTTGCTGTCAATTTTGTCAAGGTTGGGAACCAAAGCAATCATAGTACTAGGGGGAGAGAGCACAACTTTGTAGTACCCACAGTCAGTGGCCAGGCTTCAAACACCTTTTATTGTACAGCAATAAAGGAATGGAACAGACTACCCGCACATGTCAAAGCCAGTCATAGCGTGAACCAGTTCAAGAAGAGTGCCAAAAGGTGTCTGATGAATGTAGCTACAGAAAGGGAGGGGAATGATTTTCTATTTTTTAGCTAACATACGTGTAAATTTTACCTTATTCCTTGTAATGACCCTCGTATTGTAGATAGTCTTAATGACCTTGGTGTAGCAGATAGTCTTTTTAGTATGATAATAAGATGTTATCTTCATTGTAGAATAATAAGAAAATATTATAACCTTTATACTATAATAATAAGGTAAAAGGACCCCAATGGAAATAAGTCACTCTGTCTGACTTTTTTGGGTTATCCTAGGTTCTCTACACATATGCTGCTATGTATGATAATTCTATGTAACTGTATTTGTGTATACCTGAATAAACTTACTTACTTACTTACTTACTTATATGGCCCACATCAAAAAAAGCTCCATGTACTATTGGAATTGCTGCATTCTCCCACCTACTATAAAGCACTTAAAAGAGATGATGCAGCATCTTTCAACAAGTAGAGTACCGAGGCAAAAGCAAGCATCAGCATTTACACCAATTCCACTATATTAACTTACTGTGTTTGTACAATGAAATTAGTCTTGAAAATTATTAGCCCATGCATTCATTGAAAAAAAACATTAATTTTTAAATGATCGTGTGTAAAAAAAAGATGAAAGTATTCATCCACTACTTACCTATATTTACAAGACCTTTGCATGGCATGGTATCTCCAGAATACACAAGTTTCCAACCATCTTTGTGTGACCAAGCTACACCAAATGAGTTTGGACAATGAATGACATAAGTCATATCAATTCTTTTCATATCTAAGCATGAGCAGATCTCATTGTACATTGCTTGGTCCAATTTGAAATCATCACTACAAAGTCTCTGATTATGGATGATAGTGAAGTCATGCACAATGGACTCAAAGTTTGCATTGTATGAAGCTAGGTATGTCATAATTTTTGGAGGCGCAAGAAGATAAAGCTTGGGTACCTGGGGAATATAAAGATTTATTATAAAAAATATGCACACCTATCTGTCCTAGTGAAAGCAAATTAAAAAATAATCTAATAAAATTCTGCATTTGAATAGTGAAATATTACAATAGTATTTTTATCAATACAGTATTACATATCTCAATTTGTCAAAATACAAATGTTGAAAGTTATTGTTTCCCCCTGCCACATATCCTGCAAACATACTGTTAGTGAATCCAAGTACTCATTGCTTGGTCCTTGGTGCTTGCTCACTATCACATTTGCTCTCACACTCATATTTATTCTCACACTCTCACACTCATACTCCCATGCTTATTTTCACACACTACAGATACCTTGTCCTTGTATACATTCATTAAAGTGCCACATAGTAGTCAAGCACAGTAGCCATAGTAGTACGGTACACTGAATGCACTGATAAAAAAAAAAAATCAGGTTTTCAACTAAGAGTAAAAGTTGAGATACTGTGTGTCAAACAGACTGTACCTGTGGCCACTGCCTAGTGGGTGTGGAGTTCTCAGTGGGAGTCATCAAAGACATTATATACAGCCAGAGAGATTTTCCTTAAAGTATTTCTCATTATTCTCTTAAAACAGAATAATATTGGGTGTCAAGCTCCCCACAGCCTCATTAAAAGTGTTGGTACAATATTATAATATCACTTATAATACTCTGTCTCTAAGAGTAATTTCTTAGAATAGGAAGATTTATTTTTTATATAAGTTTAATAAAAAAGCATAAGAAAATAGTTTTGAAGCCCTTTCAGCAAAATTCAACCAGTTAAAGAAAAAAAAAGGTTAGTATCAAGACTGTTGGTTACTTTGAAAACACTATAAAGTCCTAATATGCAATACACAAGAGAGGCATTCATGCAAAAAAAAATATTTTATGTAAAGTCAGTCTGACCTATTGATAAAGAGTTTCCTAGACAAATAGCATTTAATTTTGAACAATTCTAAAACAAAGCTAATTTGTTGAAAAAATTAAACACTTACTTTCTGTAATCCAGCTTGATGGAAAGACTTCTTTCTAGCAAGCAGGAGACGAATGAATCCAGTGTGGTGGTCAGCGTGGAGATGACTAATATACACAGCAGACAATTTCTGAAGAATTTTCTCTGATTCATCAAAGCCAAATAATCTAACTAACTGTCCATAAGTTCCCTCACCACAATCCATTAACAGTGTTTTCGTATCACTGAAATTATTTTTATAATTAATTTTATAGTTAACAAATTTTATTGAATATGAAAACTAGCAATCAATATGATGAATAATATTTTCAGAAAAATACTCATATGATGTGAATAAAATTACTAATACCTTTTTTCTTTCAACAACCTGGCCACATCCCACTGAGGCAGGGTGGCCCACAAGAAAAAACGAAAGTTTATCCCTTAAAAAAATTAATACCTACCTTATATTAATCAAAATTCCTGATATGTTTCGGGTTTTGTTTGGTATACAAGACCCAGTTCCCAAGAATACTATGGTAGGGTAGTTCTCTGAAATATTACCACAATTTTGGTCTTCTTGGAGGGGAGCTTGTAGCTTAGCTTTGAAACTGAGAAGCGTGTTCTCAAAATTCTCTTTTTCATAGCATTCTTTTAGGTAAGTTTCTGGATGCAGCACAAGACCATTTGATCTGTCCCATGAAAATGAGAGATTTGTTTAATTTTAAAGCTTCAAATGTCATTTATGTAAGGGGTGTCTATCATGAAAATCTAAAACTTATTTTTTTTAAGATTCACATGTCATTGTATATAAAAATATGTCTGTAATTTACCTACAAAACATAATGGGAAAATCAATAGCATACAGAATAGAAATAATAAAAGAATAATTTGGGATGATGAAGGTGGTAAAATTAAATGACTGGAAACAATGAGCATCACTGTTCCAAACAGTAAATGTCTATAAAATTTGGAATCAACCTTTTAATTTCAAGAATTTGAAAAAGTATCTTGAGTAACTTTTTTAACACACCCTTTCTCACCAAGGTAGGGTGACCCATAATATAGGATATGCATTCACTGTCAGTCATGCAACTGATGACTTGCCAGAAGTACTCTGACATCACAGTTCAGATGACCCTCCAAGCTACAACATCCTTACCCATCCTTCAGAGGAGGAGACAAGTGTGGTTAACCAGTTTTTCTAAATCCTTTCAAACAAATAGGATGAAAATTTCAGAAAAGTTAATAAAGTATTCAGTAATAACTAATTACTAGTGAAAAAACTGTTTTTTCATTAGGTGTAGACAAATACACATATATGAACAATTAACAATTAACTAAAGCACTTACTAGTAGTGTCTACATTAACTTAAACATTTCATATACCTATACATACATACATTACATCTTGTAGGAGTGAGGAAGAGCCAGTTGTGAGTGGGGGGGAAGTTCGTGAGGCAGTAGGTAAAATGAAAGGGGGTAAGGCAGCCGGGATTGATGGGATAAAGATAGAAATGTTAAAAGCAGATGGGGATATAGTTTTGGAGTGGTTGGTGCAATTATTTAATAAATGTATGGAAGAGGGTAAGGTACCTAGGGATTGGCAGAGAGCATGCATAGTTCCTTTGTATAAAGGCAAAGGGGACAAAAGAGAGTGCAAAAATTATAGGGGGATAAGTCTGTTGAGTATACCTGGTAAAGTGTATGGTAGAGTTATTATTGAAAGAATTAAGAGTAAGACGGAGAATAGGATAGCAGATGAACAAGGAGGCTTTAGGAAAGGTAGGGGGTGTGTGGACCAGGTGTTTACAGTGAAACATATAAGTGAACAGTATTTAGATAAGGCTAAAGAGGTCTTTGTGGCATTTATGGATTTGGAAAAGGCGTATGACAGGGTGGATAGGGGGGCAATGCGGCAGATGTTGCAGGTGTATGGTGTAGGAGGTAGGTTACTGAAAGCAGTGAAGAGTTTTTACGAGGATAGTGAGGCTCAAGTTAGAGTATGTAGGAAAGAGGGAAATTATTTCCCAGTAAAAGTAGGCTTTAGACAAGGATGTGTGATGTCACCGTGGTTGTTTAATATATTTATAGATGGGGTTGTAAGAGAAGTAAATGTGAGGGTCTTCGCAAGAGGCGTGGAGTTAAAAGATAAAGAATCACACATAACGTGGGAGTTGTCACAGTTGCTCTTTGCTGATGACACTGTGCTCTTGGGAGATTCTGAAGAGAAGCTGCAGAGATTGGTGGATGAATTTGGTAGGGTATGCAAAAGAAGAAAATTAAAAGTGAATACATGAAAGAGTAAGGTTATGAGGATAACAAAAAGATTAGGTGATGAAAGATTGGATATCAGATTGGAGGGAGAGAGTATGGAGGAGGTGAATGTATTCAGATATTTGGGAGTGGACGTGTCAGCGGATGGATCTATGAAAGATGAGGTGAATCATAGAATTGATGAGGGGAAAAGGGTGAGTGGTTCACTTAGGAGTCTGTGGAGACAAAGAACTTTGTCCTTGGAGGCAAAGAGGGGAATGTATGAGAGTATAGTTTTACCAACGCTCTTATATGGGTGTGAAGCATGGGTGATGAATGTTGAAGCGAGGAGAAGGCTGGAGGCAGTGGAGATGTCATGTTACACAAATAACCCGCACATAAAAGAGAGAAGCTTACGACGACATTTCGGTCCGACTTGGACCATTGACAAAGTCACACTTTGTCAATGGTCCAAGTCAGACCAAAACGTCGTCGTAAGCTTCTCTCTTTTATGTGCGGGTTATTTGTGTATCGTTCCAGTCACGGTATTGTGCCTTTTTGTTATTTAGAGATGTCATGTCTGAGGGCAATGTGTGGTGTGAATATGATGCAGAAAATTCGTAGTTTGGAAGTTAGGAGGAGGTGCAGGATTACCAAAACTGTTGTCCAGAGGGCTGAGGAAGGGTTGTTGAGGTGGTTCGGACATGTAGAGAGAATGGAGCGAAACATAATGACTTCAAGAGTGTATCAGTCTGTAGTGGAAGGAAGGCGGGGTAGGGGTCGGCCTAGGAAAGGTTGGAGGGAGGGGGTAAAGGAGGTTTTGGGTGCTAGGGGCTTGGACTTCCAGCGGGCATGCGTGAGCGTGTTTGATAGGAGTGAATGGAGACAAATGGTTTTTAATACTTGACGTGCTGTTGGAGTGTGAGCAAAGTAACATTTATGAAGGGATTCAGGGAAACCGGCAGGCCGGACTTGAGTCCTGGAGATGGGAAGTACAGTGTCTGCACTCTGAAGGAGGGGTGTTAATGTTGCAGTTTAAAAACTGTAGTGTAAAGCACCCTTCTGGCAAGACAGTGATGGAGTGAATGATGGTGAAAGTTTTTCTTTTTCGGGCCACCTTGCCTTGGTGGGAATCGGCCAGTGTGTTAATAAAAAAAAAAAAATAACATACATTACATACATAACATACATATATAGTGACTACACTCTGAAAGATGGGTGGCATGTTTCATATGCATATATATATACAAGGAAAACTTCATGAAGTATTATTTTAGTAATGAAACTTGTGTATAATCAGCAAATCCTCATACAACATAAGAGCTTCTATGGGGATCACCTCCATCAGATCAAAACAGTATACGTACTGAATAGCTAATAAAGGTTTTAATTAGGACTTTGACGCCTTTTAACCCTTAACCCTTTGACTGTTTCGGTCGTATATATACGTCTTACGAACCACCATGTTTGACGTATTCTTACACATAAATTCTAGTGGCTTCAAATCAAGCGGGAGAAAGCTGGTAGGCCTACATGAGAGAGAATGGGTCTGACTGGTGGGTGTGCACCCTGTGAAAAAAATCAGGGACTTAGTGGTGCATTGTGGGAATGCCATCTTGGTAGTCCACTTTCACCATGCCTTGCAGTAGGAAGTACGTACCTCACTCTTCGGCGGACTGGAGGTCTTTTGTTCCCAAGTGATAGCTCTAACAGTGATGGAAGTGCCAGTGAAAGTGAATTTCATGGTTTTGGAGTGGGTGTGACCGAAAGCAGTGCCTAGGATAATATAATTAGTGATGAAAATCCAGATGACCCACAACCTTCCACCTCTGGTGCTGGGCCATCTCATTCACATTCACTTGTACCAGGACGAAAGAGGAAACCATTTGCCCGTGTACAAGACTCATGTGAGCAGTGAGTGATAGTGATTTCAAAGCTACTGAAAGCAGTTTTAGTTGCGACAGTGAGGGTGAATATTCTCCAGTGAAGCGGCAGTATATACGACATAGCATGCATTCTGGTAGTGTGTCATATGTTGTTCCAAGGGGAAGGAGTAAATCTCGGAGTATATCCCGTGGCCCTACACCAGGAACTGATAGTGAAGATGACAATATTGTTACAATGGGGATGAATGATGTGCGTGGGGCAGCAGGTGGTGGTGGTGGCATGAGTCATGTGGCACCAGCAGCGGGCCATGCTACTGCCCATGCTGCTAACTCAGCACAGCCACAACCAGCCTCAACCAACACTACACTCCCCCAATATCCACAACCACAACCTGTAAATATCCAGTACCCACAAGCAGACTGCATCTGGGATTGGCAGCAAGGTGACAATTTTGTTCCCAATCCCCATCACTGATGAAATACAAAGTGGAATACAGCCATCATGTACACTTGGGAACAATGCTACTGAACTGGAATGCTATCAGTTATTCTTCGATGAACCCCTGATAGACATTATTGTCAGGGAAAGCAATACATACTTTGAGTACACCATGGCAAACACAATTCTTTCACCAAGATCACGCCTACACCAGTGGAAGGACACAACAGTAGCAGAGATGTATCTGTTCGTTGCCACAATAATGTTTATGTCACATGTGTATAGGCACAGTGTCAACATGTACTGGTCGACAGACCGCCTGTTTTCAACCCCAGCTTTCGGTGACATTATACCAGTGAATAGATTTGTGCTACTGTTACGTATGCTACACTTTTCAGACAAAACAAGGACTAACAGAACTGACAGGTTATATAAGATCAGAAATGTGTTTATTTACCTGAAACAAAAGTGCTGTATATATTTTTATCCATTCAGGAAGTTTGTTATTGATGAGTCTTTGATTTTGTTCAAAGGAAGACTCTCATTCAAGCAGTACATACCAAGCAAGAGGAAATGCTTTGGTATAAAGTTATTTGTACTGTATGATTGCAAAAGTGGTCTGGTTTTGGATATAACTGTGTACACTGGCAGTAAAACATTGCAAGATACCAGGAAGTTGCTAGGTATCTCTGGTGATGTGGTTAGAACAATGATGGAACCATATCTTGGTAAGGGGCATATTTATATACTGGCAACTGGTACACAAGCCCTTTACTCAGTGATTTCTTGAAAGTGAACATGACAGATGTGTGTGGTACAGTGCATGGAAATCGTAAGCATATGCCTAGGTTCAACACTGGCACTCGTAGAGGTGATGTTCAGGTGTTTGCTGCCAATGACATCATGGCATTTCGGTGGCATGACAAACGTGATGTCACACTGTTGACATCAGTTCACCGACATGAAATGGTAGACAGTGGCAAGCAGAATAGAGAGACCAATGAACCCATTGTAAAACCTGCAGCTGTGATGGATTACAACCTCAATAAGCAGTTAGTGGACAAATGTGACATGCAGATTGGGTTTGCTGATTGTGTTCGCAAGAGTTGTA